ATTGAAATCACTCCGTTGGTGTTGTTCTTCTGCTCAGAACCAGTTGATTTTGTTTGTGTGTTTATCAGAGAGCAGCATTGCACTCTCAGTGAGTCATTTGGAAGCCTCACACATGGTTTGCATTCAGGCTGGGAGAGCCTGTGCTAAGTTTAGAACTCGTTTAATGAGTGGGAAGATCTGTGGAATAAATGTGCTACTAGGAAGAATGTAGGAGACACTTGGGGAAAAAGTAAACAGCAAATCTGTCTTGTAAAGACCAACCTCTGAGGAGAGTGTCATCTAAATTTAGTGGAATTGAGCAAAGATGATGCTCTTCAAATAAAGCAAGGCTGGGGCCAGCAGTGTATTTAACAAGGGGATTGTACATATGATAACCACGTTCAGTTTTGCTGTAAAGAACACAAAATCCAAACTGCTGAGAGATTTTAGGATTGTGCCCTTCCCTATTATAGTGGCACAGCTTGCTGGGTTTATGCTGAATTAAATATAAGCTATTTTTAGGATGCATTTTCCTTGAAATTCCACATGAAGAGAAAGGCCTTTAAATTAAAGAAGAAATATTCCAGAAGAAGAGGAATTTTGATGAAGTTTGATGCTTGAGATCCAGCCTTTAGCAGGCAAAATACAGGTGAAGTGATGGAGATGTTCTTTAATAGGGAGTTGTGGAAAGTTCTGCAGTTTATGGAACTGTAGAAGCTCTCAGCAGGTMTCAGAATATTTGTTCATATTGTCTATGAACAAATCTGACTGCTGAACATTCTGCAGTTAATATTTTGAATTATTACACAACCCTAATCCTTGGGCTGCCCATTACCCATCTTTCTTAATCCACTCAAATGAACTGAGTATTATGGATAAATAGCACTGTCTTATTCTCCTTGACTTTTCTGGATGGCCAAATGTCCAAAAATCATCTCCATGGCCTTAATGAAAGGAAAACACTCTTAATTTCACAGAGACTAATGTAACTGCATTTCCTCAGCCCTACACCTCGGGATTGTCTGGGCTCAGCTGATAAAGTCMCACTTAGAAATGGGACCAAGCTGAGCAGCACCAGCAAATCTGCTCTCTAAAAGGTCAGACAGAGTGAGGTACATGTTCTGTGGGATGGAGAGCGATCCCAGATATCATCTCTGCAGCTCAGCCTTGTCCATGCTGCTCCAGGGGGCTGTGCAGAGAGCTCAGGGCCCAGTCCCAAAGTGACTGCACATTGCAGGATTATCATTGCCTTCCCTGACTGTTCTTTATCTTGGTCTCCCATCTACCAGAATGATGCCATTACCAGGGCATCTTTSCTCCCATTTTAAAGGGGTGGGTGGGGAATGTTAAAAAGGAGTTCTCTCTTGTTGGAGACATGAGCATAAAGCCTGAATAGGCTGRATTTTCTAATATGGAATACTTTTAACTAAGGTTTTTAATTCTCGCCACTCAGAGTTCTGAAGAGAAGACTGTCCTATTTCATAGCCTTTCTCACAATTACAGAAAAGTGACAGTTACCAAGTAATTGTAAAGCTCTTTGAAGGTGAAAACTGCTGCTGAATTGAAKTTCTACTAATGCATCTTTTGCCTCAGATTTGAAGAGGGAATTTCAAAGTYAGTTAGACATAAGTTATTTCTGTACATTTTGCTTTATCCTTTCTTCTTCTTGCTTTTCTGAAGCAGAAAAGCAAACAAAGCTGGTTATTCCACACCCATGTTATTGTTCATTTCTCTTTAAACATACACCTTAATGTGTGGTTATTTTTTGTTCCTGTTCTCTGTTATAAAATGTGTAAAACAGGCGACATTTGCCAGAGGGGCCACAACTTCTGAGGAGTCTGGTGGCTGTCTGAAGTGTCGAGCTGTGATCCTGCTTGGATTTCTCAATTTATTTCCTATGAACACATCTGGCTGCTGAGCATCCTGCAGTTAATATTCTGCATTTTTACTTTTACCATCTTTCAGCTTGTTTGTGTCTCTCTGAACTGATGGCTCTGTGAATTGCCATGGTTCTCCCTCCAGGTCCCGGTGTCACAGCTGAGGATGCGCTGGGTGCATCAGCATTGTCCCCACATTCAGCCTCCATCCCCACAGATGAGAACTGGGCAAACCCCTCAGAGCTCTGGGGCTCATTCTGGGTGTTTACATACTTTTTGGATAGTGCAATAACATCTGTATACATTCCTTTGTAAATTTTCTACTGGGAACAAAAATGCATTCCCAAATTTTCTGCACAGCAATTTTTCCCGAATCTGAACGCGATTCGCTGTTGCCCTACACAGGCTCTTGTTGTGCCCACTGTGATTCACTCTTTTACTCTCTGAATTATGATTCTCTTTCRTTTTTCCTTCCATTTCATCCAGTGCACATCAGGATGTTGATGGCAGTTGGCTGCAGTCAGTTCCTGGTGCTTACATAGTCCTAGCACCCCTCCAATCACATTAATTAATTCTTACTCCCAKTGATAATTACTGCTGGTCCAATATTCTATGGTAAATAATGTCAAGTGTTTCTTTGAGTTTACATAAAAAGAACATTGTCTGTTTTCAGAGAATTGTATGTCCTTTTATGCAAATACAGCAAAATCTGGGACAGTTCTCACTGCAATGAATAATTATTATTCACATTATTATTTACAACTTTCCTGTGAATGAAGGAGCAGGACTGAAAGAAGAAAATTCAAAGTTGTTGCAGAGTTCTGAATTTGAAAGTATAGTGAAAAGGAAGTTGGAAGACTATTCCCTCTCTTCTGAATTAATGGGTAAAAACTTCCTTCATAACTGCAAAGCAACCTCCATTTCTCATGAGATGTGTGAATTTATGGGTAGGGATGAAAAGGAAAAATACTTTATGAAGTTCCTCTATAATTATTTACTACATTTCTCCACTTAGAAATAGTGTGAAACTGTTGGACCAGCATTTTCCACAGCCATGAAATTACAAGGCAGGCAAAGACTGTGGGCTGGAAAGCAGACAGAGTTTGGGACTCAGCTCGGAGACCATTTTCCTAACACAACTTTTTTTGAACCTAACAGAATCTTTTTGCAAGTTTTATTGTCAAATTGCCAAGGATCACTCAGCAGAAAGCTACTTTAGCTAAAACTACACTGACTGAAAATTGCAAGTTGTGGGGTGAAGGGTTTTTTTCCCCAAAATCATCAAGTTTATTCTCTTTCTCTCCTGCTGTATCTCACACACCTTAAGAAAATCCTTAACAAAATAATACAGGCACTCGCCARGCCTTCA